AAAAACTACATATTTGATTTAGAAGAAATATATATATGTGTGTGTGTGATATGTGAGCATACACCAATAGCTATTCCTGATCATTTTCTTCCTTATTTATTTATTGTCAGCATGGATTAGATCCTTGTTAAAAGCTTTAATGCTAGTCATAATTAGAATGCAAATCAGTGGTTTGGGGAAGCGATGCAGAAAATATTTTAAAATATTGAAAGTTAGACTTCTATTGTTTACTCTTTTGGGGATTTAAAAACAAGTTAGCTTACTTGTGGTCTGAAACATCTAATATCAAATGATTAAGTATAATAGAAAAGAAATAGTATACAATAATGTGTAATGTTTCTTAACAAATGGGTTAAATAATGTTGCAGTAAATTTTTTCCTTGTTAGAATTAAATTTCACAAGTTTCCTTTATTTATTGTTAGTGCTTTTTTTTTGAAAAAGAAAATTCCTACATAAGACACCATTTCTTTTTTCTTTTTTCTTTTTTTTTATTTAGTTATAGTCGTTTTATAATGTTGCATAAGACACCATTGAAGTTTTCAAATTTTACTTCAATGTTTGTGTTTTTTTTAAGAATAGTTGCTACTATATTTTAAATACATCATTTGGGGGTATTTTTTGAATCCTTAAGAAAGCTTAAAATTTAGTGTTTTTGGAAATGTATAACATTTTTTTAAAGAAAGTATATTGTAGTTTTCCGAATTACTTTATTGACCTCTTAAATTATTTTACTAATTAAAAAAATTTTTACTGACATTGTAACAAGATGGTTCCATTTAATTTTTTCTAGTAAATGGAGGTTTTTTAGTCACTTGCTCTCATTAAGCAGTTTTAAATTCATTTTAAAAACAATTATTATTAATATTTTTAGTTACTAAAATTTTTCAAAGTGTGTAGTATTATGTGAGGATTTAACTTAATCTGGCTTTTAAAAGTTGTTACTTTTTTTTATTATATTAGTGGGCTTTTAAACTCAGGTGCTTTGTATTTGGTTGATTTGCCTGGACTAATTCCAGGTTTTATGGATTTGTAGCTGGTACTAGGCTTTACATGTATACTGTACAGTTTGAAGTGGGGTAGATTGTTTTGTGAATTGCTATTCAAACCATGTAACTCAGAGGGAAGTGTTCCTTTGTACACAAAGTGACCGTGTGTTTAGTCGGCCTAATTGTGGTGGGTTAAAAATGACTGTGTAATGAATGAGGTTATTTTGAGAGTCTTGTGCACATGTGAGTATAAAGGGTTGAGAACTACAGTATATGAACCAAGTCATAGCAGTTTTCACCAGCTTAGACTGCAAGATTTCTTAGGTGGGACATGAGAGTTATGCTAAGAAAAGTTATTTTCTCCCACTTTAAGACCCCAAACCCAGTTTTCCGTAGCTGTGACCATCACAATGTTAGGGTCTTTCCCACAAAATTTTGGAAAAGCAAGCTCCTCACCACCACCATTGTTAGTGAATTATGTGGAAAGCCCTTCTGTGTAGCTTCCTCAATTTCTTCATCACATATTCCCATTTACTGCCTTAAATTGGCTGTTCAAAAATGTGGCCGTGTTATTAGAGAATCCTTTCCATTGAATGATGCTAAATTTGGGGGAGGTAAATTGTTGATCTTGGATACAACTTCATTGGTATGGAAGTAAATGTTACTGATGCTCTAACTAAAAAATTAGTTTTGACTTAATGAACTCAAAGTTTTATACAATTGGACTTTTACTATGTAGATTTATTCCTTAAAAATAGGCATGAGTGGATATTTTTAGAGGTAACTAATAACTGTTTTAGTTACAGCGAGACTATGCATCTGTGTTCCAAAACATAGCATAAATCACTACCTCTTAATTTGTTCAATCTAAATGTTATGTACTGCATTTGCTAGTGTATTCTCCCTCTTTTCTCTTTTTCCAGCTTTACTGAGGTATCTTACAATTGTAAGATATTTGAAGTGTACAACATGATGATTTGATCTACATATACATTGTGAAGGGTTTGTTTCTTCCCCATCAAGTTAATTAACACATCCATCACTTCACAGATTTACCTTTTTTTTGGTGATAAAATTAAAGTTCTACCCTCTTAGCAAATTTCAGTTATACAGTTCAATGTGAATAA